AACCACCGGGACTGCCTGGTGGCTGATCCTGATGACACGTGGGCCAGCCTGTCCCGGTCCAGCCTGCTGATTGGACGGGGAAGTCTGTGTGGGGGGGGTCTGTCCCTGACCTGCCTGCTCCGGTTGGGTGGCCGGTTGTGTGGGCGGGGCTTGTCCCTCAGTGCCGTTAGCCGCAACAGTCACTGTGGCACCCAGGTTCATCTGTCGGTGAATGTGCAAGCTCAGTCAGTGTGGTTGCGTTCAAAGTACGCATTAATAACTAAATCACGGTGGCCTTCACTTACTTGCATTGGGATGTGGTGGTGCACAGCTCCGGGCAGAGTGACTGGTGTGGCATAGTGGGAAAAAGGTCGAACCACATGCAAGTGGCGGGGAACAGGGCTCATGAGGTTCAATCGCAGATCACTGAGAGCGACCAGGGCGTTGCCAAGGAGACGGAGACACTCCCACGTCAGGATGAGAGTGCGCTGGTCCTCCTCTCGCTCCTGAGACAGTAAAGAAACCATCTTGGGCAACATCTTAACAGCTATGCAATCTATGTTAAATACACATATTAAACATTAAAGAAAAACACATTTTGGGTGTAAATGCAGTGAATGCTGCATATTAAACCTTTTTAACGACTGACGACATAACCGTGGAATTGTTATATATGAATATACGGAACTAAATTAAAAAGGATATTTTTCAGCAATATATTCACAAAAGAACACAAGTTAATTATTATTTGGCTGTTTGAATCTTACTGAATTGTTATTGTATTCTGCAGTGGTGGCTGTCTCCAGGATGGTGTGAGCTCTCTGGATGAAGGGCTGCAGTCTCTCCTCCACCCTCCGTAGCTCAGACAACATCTCCGCCAACTCAGCTGGGCTTGGGTGGCTAGGGGACGAAAGGAGGGTAAAGCAGATTAAAATTGGGGACAACTGGTTACCAAACTAGTCATCACAAAGATACACCATCACTATGTATTCAGACAGAAATATATAATATTACTTGCCTGCCTTAAAGGATTGAAATTATTATTTGCATGTGGTATAAATAACAATCTGAGTCATGTAGATCGAAAAGATGTCTTACTTAGGTCCAGGTTGGGGTGTTGGTCCCTCAGTTTGTGCTGAAGAAGTTGTTGGAGGTGGGGGAGTTGTTGCAGGTGGGGAGGTGTCCATTGGCTGGGTGGAAGGAGAGGGAGTGGAGCTGGTGGATGAAGATGAGGGAGGAGGAGGAGGAGCAGCATCCGCCGCAGTGGAAGAGGTATCTGTTGGAGCCGACGGCTCATTTGGTGTACCCTGAAAAAAAACACCAGACAGCAGGAAAATGTAGTACGTGAATGTTTGCACCAAATGGATAAGAACTGTGAATGATAACAGAGATAAAATAATTCTAATCCTCTCCGAATAAATGCAACCAACAGTTCCCAAATGGTTGAAAGTAATATATATATACATATACATATATGTGTGTGTATTAAACAAATACCCTGAAGTGGGGCCCTCACCTCCATCCTGTGTATGACATGATTGATGTCCCTCAGCAGGTTCTCAGCCAGCACCAGCCTCAGTCTAGGCTCGCTCTGCACTGGTTGGTCCATATCAATGTGCACATTCACAGACCCATTGGTCTGAAATAGAAATGAGGATAATGAACAAAACACAGGACAAAGTTAAGTGGGATTGGGTGCAATCAGCAGCCATCTTACCCCCGTGCTGGTTGTGACTCTGGCATTCCTGGCAGTCTCTCCCATACCAGACACCATCTGCTGAACCGACATCTAAAGCAGAACAACAGCACAGAAGAAATGCGACATTGGAAACAATACTTCAAGATAAACCTTCCGACGCTCATGACATGAAACACGATTTAGGGCAACATAATGTTTTATGAGAACACTCGTCCTCTACACAGGTGTTACGATTTTGGTTCAGAGGGGGAATAACTTTGAAGTGGCTGTTCATCACACTGGACTGCATGCTCAGTTACCTCAGAAATTATTGTGAGATCTCTGTTAGATTTTCACAATTTCACAAAAAATATAATTATGTTATTAATAAAAGTTAAAGAACAGTGAATCAGTTCTGCTGATCACGGGCAGATTGGCTGACAAGGGACTGTTTCAGCGACAGTCGATCAATCAGTGCATTTCTAGGCTCTACCGATCTGCGCAGTATAGTCAAAATGTATGCTTTAGAGCCAGCTCATACAGATATACATTCCATACATTTTATACCTAAAGTCAATGGAATACATCACATTGCCCGACAGCAGACCGACCTGTATATGCTGGGGATCCATGATGTTCACAGGGAGGTTAAAGGTGCCCAGCATTACGTAGCTGTTAGCGTTGCGATCATGTGGAGGCACTTGAGATGTTCCCTGGGCGGATGGGCTGGGTCCAGTATCAGCTGAAGTGCCTCCTGACCCCGAGCCAGGCTGAGAGGGTGGAGGGGGCGCCCGCTCGACAAGGTGTATCACTTTGCCTTCCACATCTGGGATAACAGAAAACCACCGTTTCACATTTAAACTTATCATCGTGTTGATATCACACTTTAGTTTTGAGGAACAAAATAAATTCTAGCTGAATTATACATCAATCAACACCTCAAGATGAGATTTTACTTTAGCCAGAAATACTGTGTATTTACCAATAGACACAAGTCAGCTCAAAGCATGAATTTGTTTTAAATTGATTATTTTAGGTCAAGTTGGCAGTTGAAAGCAACTGCAATAATTACTTTCTGCAACAATAGTGGTCCGACACAACTGAAAATCAACACAAAAATAATGAATAAATTGTACAATAGCAGCACTCTTCAAATGTAATTCCTACTTGATGTGTGTGGCCCAAATGTTAAGAATCAATGGGCGGATGATGAAAAAGTAAGTAAATATACACAGGTATTCTACCCGCTGGGGCTCAAAAAATAAATCCTGAGACAGGTCTAAAAAAATAAAAAAATCTGCCTTTTATTTAGTTTACCCAGTGAGTACTTACTGTAGTCTGCCAGTGTCCTTTCATCTTGTAAGACTCTGCCCTGGTAGATCAGCCTCTGTTTGTCCACAGGGATACCCACCGAAGGGGCAATGTGCTCTTTGAATCTTTCACTGTCAACTACAAATAAGATGGATCAGAGATTAGTCTACCACAAAGGTTGATTGAAAATGTGATTTCACTCTGGAGTTTGAATATTTTAAATAATTTACCTGAGCACCAACTGTGTAGGTTCTGCTTTGTGAGTCTAGTGTTTTGACTGTCACCTCGATGTCTGCAGTTTGTTCCTCCATGGTGATTCTACATAAAGAAATAAAATGCTTTAGTAAGTCCAATTGTCATTTTGATGCCAGTATCAATATGTGAAAGTTTATAAAAGCCTTTTATTAGAATCCCTTAAGACGTTTAAGACGTGTGAACGCAGCAGGATATTTTGTAGCTGACAACACAAGTCAATTGAGGAAATGTTTTTTACACAAACTCAAAACATTTCCTTCTTTGATTTACTGTAACTTCTTGGTACTCATGAGCTGACATATAAACTGACACAATGTATCAGTAATTAGCAAATATTGGTCGAAATATAAGCTATTCTAAGTAAAGTGTATCATAGTCTGATGCAAGTGTACAACTTACAGCAATTTTCACTCTAAATAATCTCCCTTTTCTTTATTACCTGAGCAACAATCAAGTGAAAAAAAAAAAAAACGCACAAAACAATTCCTGATCAAATATATACAGAAGCGAAGCAGCAGATGCAAAACGTTTAGCCTTTTTGGTGTATTTTTTATTAATAGGTTAATTAAAAGGGATAACACTAGTTGTTAATCACTCATTTTCTGTTTATGAATGAACCTTTCAAACTGACAGATCTTTCAGCATTAATCCAATTAGTGATGACTTAAGTACTGCTGCACACCTCCTCCACGAGCTAGTGCCCAGAATTGATCCATTACTTGATTAGTTTGAGCAACTGAACAAAATTCATCAACATATGGGTTTAGCCTGCCACCTGTGTTGGAGGATTTGCATCTCCTATGTATTTCATATGATTTTAAATTAGAGGGTTTGGGCGTCCTTCGACTACACTTTTACTAAACAAGCAGTTGGAAGGACACCGAGGACATCGGGAGAAAGTCTGGTCGTAAAGTTACTTAATAAATAAAAGGAAGTTATTGACAGTATAAATAACAATAAAAAAACTACTAAGACACAACTTATTTTTATCTAGAAATAAATTGCACCGTCAAAAACGTTGGAATAACAAATTCATACAATCAAATACACACACAATAGCCTCTATATTTACGAAACTGGCGAAATGTTGCTTTCTTACTATTGTAAAACATACATTACATCAGTGGCTGAAGGTTAGCTTCAATATTGTCGGCTGTCATGTAGGAGTTAGCGAATTGCTACAAACTGAAGGTAAATCCCAACAATAAAACTCACGTTAGCGGTTGAGCCGCTAACATTAGCTAAGCTCACTTGCTAGGTAAGGATAGCATCATAACGTTACATTAGTTAACTATCAGCCCTGACGATTGACGTTAGCTTAATAAAGACCGTAGAACGGCTTTATCTTGCTAGCCAGGCAAGTCGATGTACAGGCATTAGCATCAATTAAACCGCTTCAACCGTTATTACGGAAAACGCTAGCCAGCTACCGATGGCTAGCATCAGCTTGCTAGCAGGATTTAGCTCAGCCTAAATTACGTTGGGAACGTTTGCAACAATGCTAACTTTGACCAGCTAACATAAGGCTAAGCTAATGCTACATAAACTAAACGTTACAACACGCATAGACCAGCGACGGTTATGTGTTACTTTCGATAAGTTTGTGTGTGTATAAAAGTGGAGTGCTGTCCAACGGTTACCTTAAAAAGTCACACTATCTTTCAACTTATCCAGTGTATGAAGCTGTTTCTTATCATCAAATAACATGCAAATGACTTCCTAGTACAAGCTCGAGGACTTGTGAGGAGCTGTCGCGCTGAACGGATGTGACGTAAAGGTCCACGGCGGATGCGCTTTACAGAGCGAAGAAAAAATGGCGAATCTCGTAGAGGCGACAACACAACAGCAGTTTGAAGATTTCTTAGCCAAAGCTGGAAAATGCCTAACTGTAGTGCATTTCCAGGCACCGTGGGCTCCCCAATGTGCCCAAATGAACGAAGTGATGGCCGAGCTGGCCAAGGAACACGCTCACACCACGTTTATCAAGCTGGAGGCCGAAGCGGTGCCAGAGGTGTCGGAGAAGTATGAAATCGTCTCGGTCCCCACTTTCATTTTTTTAAAAGCAGGGGAGAAGGTGGACCGCATCGACGGGGCCCACGCTCCGGAGCTGACCAAGAAGGTGCAGCGCTTGGCAGTCGCCGGCGGTTCGGCCGGGGCTGCGGAGAGCGGCGCGGCGGACTTGAACCAGCGGCTGAAGAAGCTTATCAACGCGGCGCCCTGCATGCTCTTCATGAAGGGGTCCTCGCAGGAGCCCCGCTGCGGCTTCAGCCGGCAGATAGTGGCCCTGCTGAAAGAGCACGGCATCCAGTTCAGCAGCTTCGACATCCTGTCCGACGAGGAGGTCAGACAGGGGCTGAAGATCTACTCCAACTGGCCCACATTCCCTCAACTGTATGCGAACGGGGAGCTGGTGGGGGGACTGGACATAGTGAAGGAGCTGGCCGAGTCCGGGGAGCTGGAGAACACCTGCCCGAAGGCCGTCGACCTGGAGCAGCGGCTGAAGGTCATCATCAACCGGAGTCCGGTCGTGCTGTTCATGAAAGGCGACAAGGAGGCCGCGAAATGTGGCTTCAGCAGGCAGACGCTGGAGATTTTGAACGGCACAGGTGTCGATTATGACACTTTTGATATCCTGCAGGATGAAGAGGTGCGTCAGGGGCTCAAGACCTTCTCCAACTGGCCAACCTACCCGCAGCTCTATGTGAAAGGAGATCTGATCGGAGGTTTGGACATCCTCAAGGAGCTGAAGGAGAGCGGAGACCTGGTGTCGGTGCTGAAGGGGGAGTCGTAGGTGGATCTGCGGGTCCACCAGGACCTACGAGATGCCACTGCTGATGCCCAGATCGGCCCGATCTTACGCAGGGCCAGAAAGTGAATGGAAGGATTTATCGAGATGAATACATTTAATAATTGATAGATTAATCAAACTGTTTGGATAAGTTCACATTCTACTTTAAACTTGAAAATGCATTTCATGAGATTTGAAATTTGCTTCTCAAATTTCTTTTGTTTTTCTCTCAGTAATTCCTAAATGTACACCTCAAGAAATGTTTGGAGTGATGTGAAGCAATCCCTGCATTTGTTCCAAGTTCATAAATCTATGAGAACAGCTGACGTGCTCATATAATCTGTTGTCTTTATTTGTTGGGGTTTACATTTGTCATTCCACAATTTACACCCGAAGAACAATTTATATTTACCGAAGCATTATTTACCAAACCTCTCAACTTCTCATGCTGTCCTGTTTACGTGTTCTTCACCTGAAAGAGAAAAACTGTTCCCCAGTAATCACTGTGGTTTAAATACTACTGTCTAAGTGGCACTTATTGAAACAGTCTTATTAATAACATTGTGATTAAACAAAAGAAATCTAAGATTTGGTGTTGTTTCTGGTTCAACTTTTAAAGCCAACGTCGGAAATATAATTTCAACTATTTCAATACGAGGCATTATATACAAGCGGATGGATTACACCCACGATGCCGTTCTACTGCCTCAAAGTTGGAAAAGTGGTATTCAACAACATGCATCAAATGAAGTGAACAGACTTACAAGCCACATTCTCAAAAATGTTCAAGGGTAGTAATTCTCGGCAAATCATACAGTAGTGTGTGTGTCAGGATTGAAAGGGGGATTTCTGCACATCTCATTTTATCAGTAAATGTACAGTTTAGAAGAACATCTACATGGAGACGTTTGCAGCACAAAAAGCAATCCAATTTAATGTTGTCCATCAACATAATAGTAACGTTTGTAAACGGGATTCATTTGAATGAAATCCTGTTCCCGTGACATGTGACAGGTGTGTGGTACAAGAACCCATGTTCTTAGACAATGAGTTTGCCTCATGATGACGTGTTAGAGCGGAAACGCTTGGTCAATTAAACCCAAATCAATCAAATATCTTAAACACTGTTTCCCTATTTCCAGCCTTTGTACTCAAAGCAAACTGCCTGCTGGCTGTGGCCTAATTTAACAAATAAAAAAGTGTGGTATCAACCGTCTCGTTGAGCTCTGCCATAAAGAACATTAGTGTATCCATAAAAAATATTTTTTACATATTTTGACTTTTTTTCCAAAACATCTTTTGACCTATCATATTTTGACTTTCTTCTAAAAGAAAAAAATCTTATATTTTTTTCCATGACAATTTCCAAGCTAACACATCTTGAATTCTTTTTACCTACCGTGCGTACCTTTGTCGTGCGCGCATGTGTGATGGCTGCGCCGCTTCTATCTTCAATATGAATGACTTTCTAGATGTGATACTGTGGAAGCTATGGAACTCCTGCATGATGTTAACGATTTTACCATGTTTTCATTGTTCAACACTTAATAAATAAATAAAGCACAAAATACCGATTGTATTCAATTCACCATTTGTTTATGATGTTGTTTGGGTTGTTTCCTCATCGACCCATCATTGTTGTCACGTTTGGTCCAAACCACCTCAGGCGACGTTGCTCGAGTGGAGAAAAGAAAATCACCTTTCCACCCACAGCCAACCAGCAGAAAAACCCAGGGAATTCCCATGATGCCTCTGAGCTGAACTGTTCACAGAACGTGAACGAATGCCAGGTATGTTCAGCCATGCTGCTTCTTCATGTATTGAATCAACACAAATAAACAAGTCCGCTCATAGCACATGTGTTTTTTCAGTTTGGACGCAACTTTATTGCAAAAGAAAAAGCGCCGCCGTTGCGCTGGTTCAAATATGAGCTGACTTTGTCTTCCAAAAGTGGTGAAGAAAAAAAAAAAGGGAAGTAACACATAAATAAAGCCTTTGAACGCAGATGAAGAGGGCCCTGCCAGGAATCATCTGGATCGGTCAAAGATACACCTGGTACTCACATCTGTTTATTGCACACACAAAAACCCGGGAGCAGAATACAGATGTGACACCGAAGCGCTTTATCGAGTCACGAACCAGTTACAGAACATGAATTAAATCTGATCAAACCCTAAAGATACATCTGTGCATTTTAAATAATGTGTGTAATGTTCTGTGGGAGTCAACAAGCGTTCTTGTTGGCCGCAGCTGAACTTTGACGTGACGCCCAACGACCCAAACACTTGAACATCTCTGGTTTCCATTTTACTCACTCTGGGGGGACAGTTTTTGATTTCAGACCACACCGAGTTTCCTTCCATGTCGAATCCTCATAGAATCAGAGCTCTGTTTAACACCCATTGTTCTTACACTCTCCCTCCCGCACCCCTCGGGGAATCATACAGACATTTAGAAAGAAGGACTCATTCTTGTAGTTGTCCTCAACCATTTATCACACCACTAAAGTCGAGATCCACTGGAGACAACAAAAAGTTTGTCCCTTTGTTGTTTCAAGTGGGGACAGAACCGAACGAAACCACATGCAGCTCACCTGTTTGTCGCGGCGAGCGTGTAGGTGTGCGAGTGTTTGCTCGTGTGTCTAATTGAAAGAGAGAAGGTCGGAGATTGTTGGTGACATTTAAATACATCCCAGGGAACATATACTGGTTATGTGGGAAGGAGGGTGTGGGGGAGGGGGGCGGTATGGGGGGGGGGGATGTCCCATGAAGCATGAAACTAAAAACAGCAAAGCGGAATGGAAACTCTCTCCCTTCCCTCCGTTGACTTCATTCACACTCTCTCAAAACCAAAGAAAAACTCTCACTTCTGTTCTCGTACCAAGATGTCTCATCCTGATGTTTACGTCTACAACTGAAACCGTCCCTTTTTGGCTGTTGACTTGTGGCCTGTGACTTTTGACTTTAAACGGAGAGGCTCACTCGGTATTATTAATCCGGAACGTTGACATTTGGCTCCTTCTTGCTGGTCGCAGGGGCCGGTTTTCAACAGATGACATTCCTGACATTCCTGTTTGAACAAAAGGATGAGAAGGAATAGGCATACGGCAGCGTGTAAAAAGGGATGTTGTAACGTGTTGCACTCGAGCGTGTTTCCTCATCGCCCCGTTTTAGATCAAATAGATGGTGTGGAAAAAGTCCCTGTCGTGTTGGTTTGTGTGTGGAACTCTGTCAGGAACCTAAACGTTATCACAAACCACCCACAATGTGACAGTGAGGGGCTATACTGACCTATTTCTTTATGAGTCACTCAAACACTGTATTATCTTCATATCTTATTACAAATACCTAAGCTTCTTTATCATAATAAAAAGAAAAACCTTTGCTTAGTTCTCAGTGGAACTAAAGAAGTCAATTTGTCGCCACAGGAAAGTTGTGGTATCTGAAACTAAAATCTGGTATCAATAATCTAATAAAGGTGTCACATCAGTTGTTGCGTGGTGCCCCCCTCCTCCGCATTCCAACCACACTCCACAGAGATCTCTTCTTCGGTGCGTTGCCCATGTGGGAGGGAAAACCCTCTCAACCTGACATGTCACTCTCACAGATGAGCAGCAGACGACTTTGGACACTGACCGCGCAACACACGCTGGGTGAGTCAAGATCTGGTGAGGGATTTGTGTTTATCTCAGATGTGGGTCGAAATATTGTTTTAATTTTTTTTTTATGATGGTTTTCAATGCTCCCGAGATACAACACTGCGTAGATGTATAAGTATGTGTCTACAAAGTACACATAAGTGGTACTAGAAGGTGTAAAAAGTGTTAAATCCAGGCCAAAGTTTAGGATTTCCACGGCAAATTTTGAATTCTCAACAGCATCAATGAGCAACATGTGCTCTGATTCACACAGTGGTCAGACATCAAATGCACCAATTGAGAAAAACACATGTAAGAAGATGGGTTGTGATGTTGTTTGGATGTATTGACTGGGTAGTTAACCTGGTAGTGGTTAACTCAGTACAAAGGAGGATGGGATGTAGAATCAGACACAATGCTATTATTTAAAATTCTCTTTTCCGATAAGCACAGTTTTAATCGTTGTTTAATTGTCTTTTTTCTACCTCAGTACCCGAAAAGGGTCAGTTAGATAAACGCTTTTCCCATTTTGAGTTTACATAAAGATGCATTGAGGTGAGTTGGTGATCGTACATCCGATGTCACATAGTGGAGTGGAAGTCCTGAAAATGACCCGCAGGCAATCGTTTTCTCGTATAAAGTTTCAGAGTTCGAACACTCCAAGAGGTTAAAGAGCAACGTGCCTTTGAGCTGAGGACACATTTACCCACAATGCAACGGGAGCAACGCAGCGAATCCGATTGACGGAACGTCGTTGCTGTGTGTCGTCCAGCTGTACTGCTCGGGGCAAAGTCCGAAAGAGAAAAATGTCTTATACATTTCATGTGTGTTGTTATCAAGCAGTGAGACCAGATGTCATCAATTGTCCCAAAATTTGTCTACCCAACAAAAGTATTTGAGTAAATGCACTGCTGCTTAATGTACTTACAGCATGTGGCTCAAAACTATAAAATAATGATAGATGTCAGAAAACAAAACCACAGGCGTTGGTATTACTAAGTAATTCAAATCACATCAATATGTTTAAATATGACATTAAAAAAACATGTAAAGGATATTGTTGGAAAAACTGCAAATGATCCCCAATGGGCGCTGGCCTCGGGACGGACGTTCTGTCCCGTGAGGGCAAACAATCAGTCCTCTGTTCGTGCGTAACCATCCCTATGTTTTGATGCCATAGCTACAGTATATTTTCCTGCTCCAAAGATGAAAACCTTTGAGCAGGCTTGGCGCACGACTTCCGTGTGTGTCAACTCTGTCTCCTGTTTGCGAACATTAAATAACCTGTTTTGATGATTTTACGCCGGTGTCGAGTGAGAATTTTTCTGACAGATATCGTGTTTGTTTTGACAGAATGGAGGGTGCATCGAGGTCCTCTCGTAAGTACCTGGTGCTGGAGGTGTGGTGTGGTGTGCTCACTGTGGCCGTGGTGGTCATGGCGGCACTTCTCTTTTCAATCAAACCGAGGTCAACTAAGGTCAGTACACCTGTCACCGGGGAAATTACATTACGGTTGCTCAGGGGACTGTTCAGTTCACGGAAGGATGACTTTTTGTATTATATGGCATTGTGTGTCATTGTGACTTCAATTAAGTCTCGGCTCTGCAATTCCGTGTTTCTACATGTTCCGACTCCCAGTGGCGGCCTGGAGGAGGCAGCAACGTTGTTGTACCTGTTCAAAGTGACACATGTCCACAGGGGCGGATACAATAACTGAACACCTGTGCAAATTAGTGCAATTCAATACAGACATCTGCATGAACTAAGCCCTCACAAAGAATGTTGATTGAATCAACATCTCTTTATTTCCAAAGATAACGTGTTTCTTTACTGGTTGAGAAGATTGTCAAATCTTATAAAAAAAACCCACACAGGATAATACCAAAAAAAAAGCACACATTTTGGAGATGTGTGGCCTTCCTGGACACAAAACGTAATCGGTACATCTCTGTTGCCATTTGCCAGTCAGATGACAAGCTAACCAGGAGGATTTAGGTGATGATGCAGAAGATGATGATTTGCTTTCCATCTTTTCTAGGAAGAAGTCTCAACACTGAAACCACTTACTGTCATTCCAACAGGTATGTTGGTCAGATGTCAAAAGTAACCTGTAAAAGTAACACAAATTAATTGCAAAATTAATTGAGATTTTTAATAAAAAACAATTTAAAAAAACATGTTGAATAAATCTTTTCTTTTACAGCAAACCCTAATGTGGCTCCCTTGCAGTCTACAGGTAAGTTAGACATGACTTTATTACCAATATCGCAACTCTTTATAAGGTCCAGTCTGTGGTGGCATCTATTGGTGAGATTGAACATTAAAACCAATCAGAAATGTGTTTGCGTGTAGAGGAGCGTGTGAACACGGAAGCTAATGAAAACACAGTGATTCTTATTTTCAGGGGATAATACGCTACAGAAAACATACTTAATGACTTTATATTGGATTTCTGAGGATGAGTCATTCATCTAACGCACTGTTTCTTTAAGAGGAAATGACAACAAACTGAAAGATATCAACGGGATAATGTAAACTATACCGTGATCATTTCCACAGTTATCTAATCATCAAT